TGTTTACATAAATATCCCATACAGCATATTGAAAACTACCTTTTATTTCGGGAAGAATTTAATGATATTTATTTTTATATGTTATTAATTTGACAATTGCAGCTATAGCTTATTTTGTTTTTTGTATACATAATTTATTTTTAAATAGGTACATAGGTTATTTATTAATTGACGAAAGGAATGTTTTTGATATATTATACAAAATAGGTTTTATTGATTATAAGTTTTAATGAAAATTTTCTAATTAAACTTTTTCTAATTTAACTAACTATAAATAACTCTATTAAAAAAAAATACTTTCAGAAGTTCCATGAGTACACCCTGAGCCCTTATTCTTGAAAAGTATCGTATATGAAAAACTGGAAAAATGCTATAGTATATGCTATAGTATAACATGTACTATAGTATTTCCCTACTTTTTCGTATGTGATACTTCTCGATATTAGGAGCTAAAAGTAATGAACTCCATTCGTACAAATCTTTTTATAAGGATTCACGTCATTTTCTCTTTGAACAGAAAACGAGTTCATCCCGCGGCGATATTGCGTATTACGCCACTTGCCTGGCAGAGTATATATACGCTATAGACATACATATACTATGGGCGCCACCAAGCGACCTAACAAGATGAAATTTGATCATCCAGAAACATCTTAATGATATCTAAATGATCCATAGGATATCATCCTATGGATGCAGAATAAGCGGATAAATATTTTCATTTCTTAATATATTTTGTTGCACAAAGATTAAGTAAATAACACAAGAAGAAATATGTTACACAAATTTCTAAATATGTATCCAACAGTCTATTTAGTTAATTATTGGCGGTTTATATAATAAATTAATTAATAATAAATTAATAACACCGAGCCTGATATGGAAGTCGAAACGTTTGCATTGTTACAATTAACATATATTGAATATTGTTTCATTGACTCGTAGCTCTTCTTAAATACTTCCTTTAATTTAAATTTATTGAACCATATTATCCAATTTGTTAATAAATTTGTATTTTAAAAGTAATGAATCTCTGCTATAAGAGATTTCCTAATCTGAATTGTCGTCGATTTTATAGGATTAATATCTCGGTTTATCGAGCAGAGCGACACTTTTTTCTTGTCAAATTTTTATTTTTATGCAAAAACCCATCGATTCAATGTATTTTTATCAAAATTTGAGGTGAGCGAGCTCTTCTCAATTAATATTTATTTCACTAATTGTATTATATAATCAAGTAGAATCAAAATGAATAGGAATATCTATATATCATCTAGTGCTTTAATAATAATATATCTGCACAAAATTATTTCCGCTACAATATACATGTTCGATACTCAACATTTTATTACAGCTAGATACATTTTTGTATACATATTAACGTAATACGAAATATAATTTAAAAACAAATTTTATATAATAAATTCTAACCTTCTGTTTTTTTGTAACTTTCTATTTGGAGAACTCTAGAGGAGGCGATAATTCCCTTCGCCTTTTCTCTTGTATCCGCCACTGTTTCCTTACAAGAGGAGTTACACTCTCTCTTTACATTTCCTTTACATTCCAATTAACGCTTTATTGACACTCGCTTTACGTTTTATTTTCAACAGGGAAATGTGTTATATTTAAACACGTATACATATTATTCAACTGAAACCGCTTTTAATTAATATTTTTTTGTCATTTTAAATTACAACGCACTTAAAACATTTTATTTTAACTCATTGTAATGTATACAATATATGTATACAATATATGTAAATTAATATATTTAAATGTATTAAATTGTATATAATAGGTTTATAGAATATAATAAATAGTACGCAAAAGTAAAAGAAATATTTATTTTTACTTTCTTTAAATATATTTTATATTTTTATATATGTACAATGCATAAACTATAAACTTAGAAGCACAAAAAAAAATAAACTTTTTAAACACAGCATGTAAGGAATATAATTCAAAAATAGAATTCTAATATGTACATATTTTAATGTGCATTTGATGTTTTGTTTGCACATGCATCAAATAATATATCAAATGGATTAAACTTTGAAACACCAAAAAAAAGGAAGAAAAAACTATTTAAAACTATTTAAAAAAATATAATTCGAATTTAAACAAGAAAGATTTGATTTAAAAATAATAAAGCATTATATATCAAGATTGTCGATTAACATTTGATTGTTATATACGTGATTCATTATCAACCGATTTTGCTTCTAGAGTTGTTATATTAATGAATAAATTTTATCACGACAGTAGAATACCTTGGAAAGAAATAATTATCAGAATTTTGTGGTTGGTATATATATTTAAGAACATTTGCATAACAATAAATTGATATTATGCACTTAAAAGGCATAGAATAACTCTGTTTCGTCCGCTACAATACATGTTGCTGCAGTTTCTTCATCGACGTACACGTGAAGCTTCTTCTTTTTTAAATTTCTGTTAAACACATAATCTTTTTAAATTTTCAATTACTTTATATTCCATCTACAATAGCGTCTATAAATATTTTGCTAATATGTTCGCATTTAACAAAAAGTTCACTGTAATATATTAATGAAAAAAAAAATCGTTAAGTTTTCAATTATGCATTTTGAAGTGCAAAAAAAGGACTTTATATTTGCGTTTGATTTTTTTTCTATAACATTTTGTTCCTAAATTATGTTAAATTAAAAATTGATATTTTTGCAATGTTTTTATCTCATTTTGAAGTAGTTTGACAAAACATCATCGGACAAAATTTTGATTATTTTAAAATATTTTTAAGTTTAAAAGACTTTTTAAGTTTCAAAATGCTATTTGAAAAAATTGGTACAATGATTTTTCGAAAAAAATATCAAACTTTTTTGTAGTATAAAATGCTATTGTTTAAATATTTACTTTTCCAGAATATTTTTTTAACTTCAAAATTAAAAGATTAATTAGAAAAAAAACAAAAGAGAAAAAATGTTTAATTATACTTATACTATAACAGTCGAAGCTGGATCTTGGATGCTTAAATAATTTTCACGTGACTTTATAATGTGGATTGTTTTCCTATTAGGAGACACAAATCGACACAATTTAACACAGTTTGCCACATTTAAATAGAACGCGATATATGCAGTGTGTGTGCGAATTATTAATATCTAATCTTTTAAAAAATTTTAATCAAAGATGATCAAAGAACAGAACAAGATGATAGAAACTGGTTTATATGCGTCTTGATATCGTTAAATTCATCAAAATCGCACTTAACACATTCTGATTTTCCTACAGCAGAGGCGAAGTGTGTCGATTGAGTTTGAACAAAATTATAAATAAAAAGTAACATGTGTCGATTTGTGTCGACTATTCTCCTAAAAAAAAAACAGCCATATATACATGTAGCCATTTGAACTGCGCGCCAAATTGGTTTTTCGGACTTAAAAATACAATTGAATTACTGTAGTAATTATATTGTAATATCATCACAAATTATATTGTAATATCACAAATTAAATTGAAGCAATTTAATAATTTGATGCTCAATTAGACATTCTATTAAAGTTATGTTAATGTGCTGAAAATCTGTAAATTTAGTTGCGAAAAAATATTACCTCGGCTTGAAGCCGGATCTCTAACATTTCGTGCGAGTGTCCTAAGTCTTTAGATCACCGAAGCTTTAGTAATATTTTTCGCAATAACTGATATGTAGAGACAAAACGCATTTTTCAAGCAGCGTGTATAAACAATAATAAACGATTTATTAAGATCGTTTAATGTGAACACACAATAAAAGTGCAACCATCAAGTATCAAGCAGTGAAAGAAGCAATCACTCAGCGAGGCGATACATGCATTAGTATAAAAAATATTTTGCTTGATGCTTGCATTTGAATGTATAATGATCGAAATTGGCTCTCTATTTTTGAAAAGAAACATATACAAAAAGATTAGGAACTACTATAATATACGTAACATATATTTAATATTTCCTTAATTTTGTAACACTTTTTTTAAAAGGATATAATTTTGTCAAGAAAATCGTAGAAATGTTCAAAAATATAAATTCATTTAGAAATAAATAAATAAACTTAAAGACTTATATGCTTTTGTGCCCAGTTAATTTCCTATTTAAGCAACGTTTCATTGTTTATGTAAAATAGTATATTTTGAAAGTATATTTCGAATTTGTAAATTTGTGTATTATTGCTTTGGATCATAATATTTTAATTCAACAGAATTTATGCATTCTCAGTATATTCTATCATATTATACTTGTTATAATAATATAGTTCTGCTATTATATAAAAGATTTTTTTAATTCAACATTATCCAACTGAATCTTATTGTTTGATTTAGGATCAGTTACACCAATGTCACTTTGATTTTAAGCGAGACTTAAAATTCTATGTCTTGTTTTAAAGCCAAAAAGAGATAGAAACAAAAAAAGTTTTAAACCTTGCTTAAAATCAAAGTAACATTGATGCAACCAGGCCTTAGATTTAGGATAAGGTCTGAGAACAAGAATTGTCGTAATACTTATTTAGAGACTTAAGTTGAAGTAGCTTTGACGTATAACGTATGATTTATTGCCGTCTCTTGGAGACGCGGCAATAAGTTGTACGTCATATGTGAAAGTTTGTGCGTTACTTACGTCTACAATTTAATGACTCCTGCAGAATGAACACATTAGGAGCTGTAAATTTATTGGTTACTGCATCACATTTTGCCACGCAGCAAGCGTTCAGTATGAAGAAGCCATAAAGTTTCTAAGCAAGGGGCTCCGCACAATAAAAGAAACAGGGAACAGAGAATAAGAATTTCAACTTATCAAAAACTGTGTATTCCACAATACATGATTTCTAAGTGTTACGACAATTCTTGTGCTCAGACTCTAAGATTCAGAAAGGACTACATTCTTTGCTAGGGTTAGAAAACTATCCTATGTGCTGCAAATTCTTACAAGAAAATTTTCACATACGAATTTCGGACAGGAATATATAAGATCGTAGAAGAATTGTGATAGCTGTAGATAAATCAAGAATCTTACATGAATCTTATTCATGGTATAAAGATGTGATTACATATAGTACGGTACGCGGTAAGAAATTAACTAGGTAATTATAGGTCAGTGATGCGCTGTCGTGAGAATTATTCCCACACGTGGGAATGTGCATCTGCGTATCGCCGATACGATGTAAAAGCAGCCAATACGAAACTGTAACAACTTTCGTATGCGTACAAACATTTTGTGGAAATAATTTTGACGATAGCACATCATTGCTATAAGTATTGCGCAAACCGGGCCGCTTGCTTCCTTTGGATTTGAGCCACGGTGTTAGAAGTGTAGGTGGTCTGACTAGCCTCCTCGATCTGTGATTATTAGATTCGGAAGACTGCTACCAGAGGATATGTGAGAGTCAAGTATATTGACTGTCTTACTTGGTCTCGTTGTGCAGCTATGTACGGCTAATGTTTGCAACATCATAGCAACATTTCTGCATAATCATTATGTACATAAAAAAGATATCTGCATTAAAAATGAAACAGAAATTTAATTTATATATAATTTATTCTAATAATATGCATATTAGGTGTACAACTTTGCTTCCGCCATTTTTTTTCCGAAATTTTCGAGGCTTTATTGTAAAAAACTGGTTATACATTTATGATTCAAAATATTGTCCATCGCTGGGCACTACTTTCTCCCATCTTTCGGGTAGCGTACGAATCCCGCGTCGAAAAAACTGGTCATCTTTTGAGGCTATCCACGAATCGATCCAATTTTTTATAAGACCTTCTTCATAAGACCGGAAGTGCTGGTCAGGCCATGTGCCATTGATCGAAACAAGTGATAGAGGGAACAATGTCTGGAGAATACGGCGGGTGGGGTAGGACTTCCCATTTCAACGTTTCCAAGTATGTCTTGACCGCTTTCGCAACATGGGATCGAGCATTATCATGCTGCAAAATCACTTTATCGTGTCTCTCGTTGTATTGCGGCCGTTTGTCTTTCAATGCTCGGCTCAAACGCATCAATTGCGTTCGATACCGATCGCCTGTTTCAGTCGGTTTTAACAGTTCATAACACTACGCCGAGCTGGTCCCACCAAATACAGAGCATGACCTTGGAGCCATGAATATTCGGTTTGGCCGTCGACGTGGAAGCATGGCTGGGAACTCCCCATGATTTTCTGCGCTTGGGATTATCGTAATGAACCCATTTTTCGTCCCCAGTCACAATGCGATGCAGAAATCCCTTCCGTCTTTGCCTTTCAAGCAGCTGTTCACAAGCAAACAAACGCCGTTCAACATCTCTCGGCTTCAATTCGTACGGCACCCAATTTCCTTGCTTCTGTCATCATTCCCATGGCTTTGAGGCGTTTTGAAATGGCTTGTTGAGTCACTCCCAATGATCGTGCCAATTTTTCTTGATTTTGACATGAGTCTCAAGTAATGCCTCCAATTCCGCATCTTCGAAAACCTCTCTTCTACCGCTATGCCGGTCTTCGACGTAAAAATCACCGTTTTTGAAGCTTTGAAACCACTCACGACACATTCTTTCACTAATAGTGGCCTGACCATAAGTATTTGAGAGCATTCGATGAGCCTCAGCCGCAGATTTCTTCATATTGAAGCAAAAAATTAAAACCTCCCGCAAATGACGAGAATTTGACTCGTAAACTGACATTTTCAATCGAGAATAACTTTATGATGCAGACACAAATCGACTGATGTTTCTATGGGGTTATATTGACAGATATCCAAGTTTATTGTATGACATCTATGATCTATTTATTTCGATCACCACTTACCGCTAAAGCCATCTATAGGAAAACGGCGGAAGCAAAGTTGTACACCTAATATATATATATATATATAAAACGCATTAATATTTTATAAAAATTGTTATAGATTTTATAATTCATTATATATTTTGTAAATATTTTAAATATCATAATAAATTTTCAAACATATGTTATATATTAATATATTTATTGAAATTTAATTTATATTGTGTATCTTTTAGTTTTTGGACAACCTAGATTTTTTTTTCTGTTTACTTATTTTAACGAGAGCATTACTTTGTATTTTAGCCTCATCCTCATAGTAATAAAATATAGTAATAAATCCTCATAGTAATAAAATATAGTAATAAAAGCATTCCGCCACGGCTTGTTCTTTATGAAGATCACAAGGAAATCTTAAATTAAAATTTTCTATTATTTCTTGAATTGTAGCTTCATAAATATTTAGTTCCTTATTTTATATATGACGTTGAAAATAACTCTCTGCCAAGACTTTATATCACATGCGAAATAATGTATTGTCTTTCGGTATTGTGAATAAAGAGCCTATATTATTATTGCAATTCGCAACACACTTTTTCCTATTGTATTTAGACTTTTTACAAAAACTACTTTTTACATTACGTTTACACCACACACGTAAAGCTGACATATTTGTTTCAGTACT